TCGAAAAACTTGCTCATTCTTAGTTGCTTCGCTAATATCTTGGAGCATTTTTCGTAAATTTTAAAGGCTATAATGCTAGGTCATCAGCGACGAGTTACTTTGATTCTAACAGATCACACTCTAGCTTTTTACTTAAACCACAAGCAAATGATGAAACTTGAAAAAAACCTGGTTAAATTGGCGTATAGTTGCTCTGAATAATACCACGACGGAAAACATGATCCGAAAAAGCGCCCAAATCCACGAACACATCGACCCCGGCGAGATCCACAAACACGGTGAGAGGCAACTGTCCCCTCTGATGCTGCTCAAAATGACGGTGGGTGTTGATCGGGTTTGGTGGACTCTAAAGTACAAGAATTATAAGCTGTAATTTCAAACCTAAGATCTCATCGATTCTATAGAAAAACTACAATCAAAGAGAAACCTGACCTGCATCATCACATTATGCAAGAGATATTTGAATCTTGCACCCCTTGTAGTTGTACCGAAGTCTCGCGGAAACGATTCATACGTGCGATTATTCACTGGCTGAGTGTGAGCAAATCGATAGCAGACGTTGTCTCGAGGGTCGGTGATCTCGAAGTATGTGCCACCAGCAGGGAAGTGGAAGTCGATAGGGTTGGCGGGAGGGTTGCCCCGTTCTTCGACAAACATCAAGATTGGACGAGGACGTTGCACATTCATCTAAAGGAAGAAATGAAAAATCAGCCAACATCAAAAAATGAGCACTTATCACTTAACGTCACTGTGACGTGCACTTTATAGGCTTAATAATTGATTTCAATCAGCTAATGACAAAAAAGGAGATCCATAAACTGACCTTCGCTTCCGATTTCGAACCAAACTCCTTGGATCTAAAACAACCGAAATTATTAAATCTGAAGAATATCAAATAGTAAAGACCAAAACACTGTCAGATAAAGAGCGCACAAGAAAATACTTGAAACTAATAACCGTTCACTGGAGCTAATTTTTACATATGAATAATCTGAAATAACAGGTTTTGATCCATGTTGGGCTCCTACTCGTCAACGTCTTCTTCGTCGGTGTCATACTCAATCAAAGTCTTCTTCGCCAGTGTCATCTTGTGTTCCAAACCCCTGACATCATTGACGAAAAATTGCCTCGTCAACGCGTACCAAAATTGAATTCTGGAAATTCTCGTAGCCTCGTAAAAATCCACACTTAAAATCTCAACCTAACGAATTAAATAAGTACAAGTCAAGAACTTTCACCCGCAGAAAATTTTAACACTGAACCTGTTGATAGCCGGCAACACTTGAAAGCTTCTCGACAAATCGACCCAACATCAGCACATCTTCGAATCCGGCCTGGACATTCACAAGTATTCCATACGAAATATCTCGATTGTAGCACTAAAAGTCTATCATGAATATTGTTATTTAACCTAGGGCAAAGGTTTGCCGCCTAAGAATAGTTCCTCTAGTATGATATTATATCACTATATGATATTATTATATTATATGAGAAATAAATATAGAAATTTATTATTGAAACAAAAAGACAGACCTCAAGCAACATTTCCGGCAATAAGAGCTTTGAGTTGCCCAAATTTTCGACTGCGAACTTCCTTTTTTCGTTGATCGGGTAAGCAAGACGAAAAGCCTTTCCGCCATAGATCACATCCAAATGATTCGGTTCCACCGCGAAAGAATCGAAATCCTTCGAGAAACGCAGTTGAGGTGTCATTAAGTCACAACTAAAGGATGAAAGTGTGGGCAAAAAGCAAGGAAAAACATAATAGCAGATCAATAAAAAAGAAAAGCTATCAACGAAGCCATCACAATATAAAAATGAAAACTATTCGTCGCATGGGTGTTGTCCATCAATGGTGTAGCCGTCCGATTGACCGGTTCCGAGGATCTCCTACACCGTCACAAGCTTTGAACGACTGGGCATGGTCCTCGCGATTTTGATGATGATGTCGCTAGCGAGATGGCCGTTGTGCTTGATGTTTTTCACCTTCTTTTGGTCGCGAGGTGGCTCGTTGCGTTCTTTAACGATGAGTGGCCCTTGACGAGATGAGAATGAGATCTTTCACAAAAACACATCAACAATAAGAGAAAGAAAGAACAAACGAGGTAAGGTTTCGATGCGCTTTAGGTTGACCGCAAGGGCTCGTTTCTCTTTGGTGGTGGCTTGATTCTTGGCAAAGCGTAAAATTGCCCTTTTCAGGCAAAATTTCGGGCATAGTAGCGTGGTGCTAATAACCCGTTTTGCTACCAGAGAAACGAATCCCATGCGACTGTGAGACCAGCTAGTGCTGCATCTCACAAAGCCGCCCAACCAAAAGTTTGTTGCAACCCCTTGCGGCGATGTACAACAGAACATTTTGTAGGGGATATGATGAGAGAAGAGAAGAGAAGAGAAGAGAAGAGAAGAGAAGAGAAGAGAAGAGAAGAGAAGAGAAGAGAAGAGAAGAGAAGAGAAGAGAAGAGAAGAGAAGAGAAGAGAAGAGAAGAGAAGAGAAGAGAAGAGAAGAGAAGAGAAGAGAAGAGAAGAGAAGAGAAGAGAAGAGAAGAGAAGAGAAGAGAAGAGAAGAGAAGAGAAGAGAAGAGAAGAGAAGAGAAGAGAAGAGAAGAGAAGACAAGAGAAGAGAAGAGAAGACAAGAGAAGAGAAGACAAGAGAAGAGAAGAGAAGACAAGAGAAGAGAAGAGGCGAATGGAAAAAATGAAAAAATTTTTTTTTTAAATGAAAAAGAGACGACGACGCGGTGCTCCTTTAGACGCCCTTGAAACGTCGGCGACGTCAATTGGAATTCGACGTCGTGCGAGAAATAATGTTTGGTTATATAGGCTTTAAACATAAGATATTCAACTAATGGGTTGAAGAAGCAAAAATAATTGATGGTGCACAATAGAATGCACAATTTTCTTGAATAACTTTGTGCTACCTATATTAGGCAGCTTTTTGAGTGGCCATTCGCCACAACAATTGTATCCGGAAACAAGTGAAACATCTAGAAATAGCCACGAAAATCTTTTCAATCAACACTAATTGTTTGCTAGTCTTGATATGTTTGTTTAGATTGCTATCACGATGCGAAGTGGAATCGGGATCTCAATTGTGAACTCGCTGCAAGAAGAGCTTGTGTACGCCCGTTTTGGAGATATTGTGATCAATGCGAGCAAGATTGGCGAGACGTTTCAGATGACCGGCAAACGAACGCTAAAAGAGGACAGTTTATGAGTACAAATCGCTATATTTTCAGTTTCCCCTTTTTTCACCGGGTTTTTTGATCAGCTTTCTGCATAATACTGTCTTTATCCGAACAAAAGCGCAAATTTCTTGTATTTTAGCCTCTTTGTACAGCCAGCATGTGTGCCTTTTAATATTTACTAGTCACTTAACAAAAAAATTTATGCATTATTCTTTTCGTGGACTTTAAAATTACGATTAGCTTTATTCTCTACAAAATGCTTCGGTATTTGTCTTCGATTTAAAATTTTCGTTTGCTTTTGATGCTTTTGCTCATCATGCATCATCAACATTTTCGAGTCGATGTACCTGTGATTTTCTTTTTCGAAAACACCTGGATTATGGGTCGATTTGTGGTAATTTGTTTCTTTCTTTTTTGCTTATCATATATTTCTATTACACTTTTATGTGTTTTCTATAGAGATTCCCCCTATCGAGTACCGCCGCTGAAAACTGATAGTTTTTTTTTGTGTTGAATGTTTATGGAGTTAATAAATCGATTTAATTGCATTAAGGAGGTTACAATTTTGGTTATGTAACCATTTTATTGTAGTTTTTATATATGTTTTCATCTAATCGGACTTATTAGCTCAAGAACGTATTCTTCTTTTTTATGGTTATGGTGGCTGGCGCAAAGAAGCTCTACGGATTCCGCGTATTCGTCGCCTCGTGTGTGCTCACAACGGTAACGATAGGTGAGCTTTAATTGAGATAAAACTGTCGTTGATGTCAACGAGTCGTAAGATGCATTATTTAGGTTTCGTGCTATGGGACGAGCAGAATCAACGGAATCGACGACAAGAAGGCGTTCGATAACGATTGAAAAGCGTGCAACAATAACAGAACATGACCGATTACGCTATGCAGAAACAAAAGTTGGTTTTAAATTACACAAGGTTCACTGTTTTTGTATTTAGATATGAGGAGTACAAAACAACGCACTCGTAATCGGTGGCGATGAAATATTGATAGCTTTAGGTTTACTCCTGTTGTAGATTAGTGTATTTTTACGGGTATTTGTTATTTTGTTTGTGCTTTCTTTTTCTTGTTGTAGGAATGAATAAACGTTTTGCTTAACTTTTAATCCGTTTTTTTAGTTCGTTCCTGGCGATCGGATATTTTTTGCGTTTCAATTAATTAAAACTTCAAATGCCTCAGAATCTAATGTCACCTTTTTATTATTCTGACAAAATGCCAAGCGACGACAAGAAAGCGCCAAAGAAGGTTGACGATGGAAATTACGATAAGGAGGTAAAATTTGAAAATCTTTGAATAATATTTGAATGATTTTAGGTGATTTTAGGTGATTTCAAAATCGCCCAACCTGGAGATCGCTCAACTGCGCTTCCTCGTCAATCACCCTGAATTGGATCCAACTCTCAAGGCCACCAACCTCGAGCAATTGATGACCGAGATTAAAGCCAACGACATGGCCCCATTCTACAAGTTGTTGGCCGAGGAGGTGAAACTGCCATTCGACAAGGCTCTATACGATTCCATGACGGCGAAGAATCAAGAGAAAATCGAGGCCTTTGATGCGGAGATTGCGGATGCCGAGAAGAACATGGGTGAAAGTGAGGTGCGACAGGCTTGGCTAAAGAAGTACGAGTATTTCTGTCAAATCGGAGACAAGGAAAACGCCCTGAAAGCTTTCACGAGCACTTTCGAGAAGACCGTTGGCGTTGGGTACAAGATCGATTTGGTGTTCAATATGATTCGTGTTGGACTGTTCTTTCTGGATCATCAACTGATCAACAACAATGTCACCAGGGCCAAGGAGCTGATGGAACAGGGCGGTGATTGGGAACGTAAGAATCGTTTGCGATCGTACGAAGCCCTCTACAAGATGTCGATTCGAGACTTCTCCGGTGCCGCGGCTTTGTTTCTCGAAGCTGTGCCGACTTTTGGAAGCTACGAGTTGCTGAGCTATGAACAATTGGTCTTCTACACGATTACCACATGTGTGCTGGCACTGGAGCGTCCCGATTTGCGCTCAAAAGTCATCAAAAGCAACGAGGTGCAGGAGCAGCTGACCGGTGGCGGAGAAAAGGGACAGCTCGTCATGATGCGCGACTACCTCAACTCGTACTACGATTGTCACTACGAGAAGTTCTTCCACAATTTGGCAACTTTGGAGTCGGAGAGGTTGAAGTTCGACAGATACTTCTTCCCCCATTACAACTACTACAGCCGTGGAATGCGCCTCAAGGCTTATCTCCAATTTTTGACTCCTACAAGACAGTTCGTTTGGACATGATGGCCAAGGATTTCGGTGTGTCAGTGGAATTTCTGGACAAAGAGTTGCACCGCCTTG